CTAACCAAGAGGATCTTTCTATATTTCCAATATTTTCGTCATCGAATACTACAAATTCCATCGAAATATCTGAAACTACGTTGGGCTTTATTTAGGGATTAACATGAAATTGCATGTATGCTTGAAGCTTAAGATTACCTCTCTGTTAGATTTCATAAATCCATCGAATACCAGTAGCAATACAGCGCGGGAGATAATATAAAAAATACTGAGGGGATCGAAGAGATGGGAGACGCGAGGGGCATCAAGATATTCGAAGTTACCGTGGAAGGACTCGCGCGATGACGTCGCCGACTCCTATTTCACGTCATTTTCATAAATTAAGCCTTATATCAGAGGGCCCAGACGCGAGACCACGCGGCCGTAACTTCGGGCATTACAATAATAAAGAGCCGGGTTAGGCCCGGTTGGGAACGCGCGCCAGAGACGAGGAGGGGTCGCCGTAAGTTCGGGACATTTCCATAATCCGGCCGCGATGGTACCACCCGGTGCCCAATGAAAAGCTCGACTTTACGCGACACACTGGACCCCGCATTCGTGCAACCCTAAGTGTTTGCGAAGCGCGTGCCTTCTCTCGACTTCTAACGATTTGTCCCAAACTCCAAATTTATGCCGTTCGAAAGCGGCGTTGAACTTTGTCGAAGTGGTACATCGACTTGCACAAGCGAGTGTACCTTTGTGATAACAAGTTGGGAGTAGTATTGAAAAAAGACTTCGTTTGTAATTTGTATAAACTATTATCGATAAATAACATTGTAAACAAGTTTCCATTTACATAATTGAAATTAATAGCCTGTAAAAATAATCCTATAAAATCTCTGAGAAGATTTACAGTATTTACCATATCAAGCGTAGAATGCTTCTGATTGTAAATTTTATTTCTAACTATAAAACTTTTATATCAAAATTATCAGTAGAGAAAATTATTCTTGGCAGATATTTTAGAATTTTCTTAAGAGAGATCCAAGTCCTAGGGGCTACGTTTTTAGTATAATTTGATTACTGTCCCCCCTCCTCCCTCCCCCCATCTTTAAATAACATCTTCCTATATTATTTAATCTTGACGGAACCGCACTCTGACCGATATGCTTAATCCTCCTCTTTACGTACGATATATTATCGAAATCCACGGAATTTTTTTATCGTAAACCTTTGGTCGGAAAGCTACGATCGGACGGGATGGTCGGCGCGAGAAAGAGAAAGAGAAGGAGAAAACCACTTCGAGATATTCGATTTGTAATCTTACAGCACAAGCAACTACCGCGACAGTACAATAGGCGTTACCATGGCATTACATCTCTTAGCAAGCGAAATAGACGGCGCGCGACTACAAGTACAGTTAAATCAATTAAGGACTCTTGACTCTGTGAAAGCAGCTATTACCGAACAGCTATGTATGCAACGTCATGTAGAAACACGTTGCTGAGAAACGGAATTACGCGTGGGTACTGAAATGAAGGTTTAATTAAATATCTGGATCAAATGTGTCGCTTAGCAAATTTTAGTTTTGTACAAGCTTGTATTTTATAATATAAATTGTAGACACAGATCTTGTAAAATATATTTGAAAAATGATAGCGATTAAAAATTTTTTTTTTTAACTACTCTCAGTTCAGCTTCTGCATGGAAAGAACGATTTTGCTGAAATATTTGAAATTTAGCTAGATAGAAATCCGAAAATAATTTTATTTGACCATCAGAAATCATGTAGGACATTCAAACATAATGCTGCAAAAAAATTTGATATTCTAATAATCAGCTTGAGTGTCCTACATAATTATTTTGATATTTTACCAAAATTATTTTGACATCTGTATCTAGTTAAATATTTAAATATTTTGACGAAATCATTCTTTTCGTGTGATTACTCACTACAGACTTCAGATTAATGATGTTAAAAGAGAAAAAATATATAATAAAAATTCTTGCAAAATATATTAAAATAGAAATATTTTCCAATAAAACAATATTTGCATTTGATAGAGTACACTTGTAAATATACCAAAACTCTCTTTCTATTTCGGAATAGAATCAAATCACATTTATCTCAATTCAACAGCTGTCATATAGTTTGTTTCGTTTTTTGGTTAGACATGATTCAATTTCAAATATATGGTTATTTATTGATTATCGCAACACAAGGGGAGTTTTCAGTATATTTTACAAAACTATGCTATCGATTGCAAATGTTATTTCATAAAAAAATACTCAATTTTTTTATTTAATATATATTTTATTTAATATATATATTTTTATTTAATATATAGTTTGCAAAAATTTTCTTTATATATTTTTATGATTTTGTCACAATCTAACTAGTAAATAGACAAGAGCTTTAAAATTAAAAAATTATTTATATTGAAAGAGAGAAAAAAAATTTTATTTTATTAAATATTTTTAAAAATATCTTCAAAGTTAGATATTTAATTCAAATCAATTCATATTAGGACATTTTATTCGCACATTGTTATGAACTTTTACACATGGAGTAAAAAATTAACTTTGCAAATATTTCTTTTCGGGAGTATTATTAAACGCAACGGTCCATATTCCGATCACGTCACATGAATCACAAACGGCCGCATCGTTTCGCGTTTCAAGAAAGCCTTAATTACATTCCACCCGCATAGCCGCCGTCCGTGTTTCGGAAAGATCGGTAGCCTGCTGACGAACGATCGCAGACGGTTCATAAATAAATTCGATTGCCTTGACGATCGTCTCGAGACCGACCAACTCTTTTCATATGACGAGTCATGCGGCGGGCATGTTTGCGCACGTCTAAGTCTCGCCGTGTGGCCTTCAATGTGTTGCAACACCTCGTCGGGTATCCTTTAAGCGTGCCAGGACACGATGCGACGCGAATACCGATTTCAGCGATGAAGGCCAACTCCGAGAGGTCTTCTCCTACAGAATTTCCTCGGAGCTTCTTGTATTAGCAATAACTCAGAATTATTAGCTTATCGCGACTCTTTACGCCACACGTATGCGCGTGTACACACATAATGTAATGCGCCACGATCGACGCAACGGTCAGGAACTGCAGCATCCGAGGAGGACGGCGAAGGGACGGCATCTGTCTCGGCTTTTGGTGCACACACGATCCCACTGTCCCCCTCGCCTTTCTCTATATACGTATGTACCGGCACTCGTGAATTTTGTGTAAGCATTTTTGAAGTGACTTCCAACGCCGCATTCTGGCGAGCGTCTTCGGTTGCTGGCTAAGCCGAGGGAAGACGACGTGTGTCTGTAACGTCCAATATTTCCCTTCCTGTGATTTCAAGCAGAAAAGGCTGCAGTGTTTGTGCAATTTTTTTACGATGCCCTGAAAATGTGGATATTTCTATGCGGCTTTAAAATGCACAATTTAATTCTAAATATTTCCTTCAGTCAAATTCTGTTTATTAGATATTTTAAAGCCTGTTGATATTCTATACAGATTTCCATACGATCGAAAAAGAATTTGAAGATAATATTGCGATAGAGAATAATCATCATTATAAAGATAGAAATATATAGCTTTCATATAAGTGAAAAAATATAAGATAAGAAAGAAAGAAATATTGTGTAATCAAGATATTCTTATAAATTACCACGACACTGAAGAAATGGCTTCAAGATAATTTAATTATATAAATGAGTTATATAAATAAAACATATATCTTTAGCGCATATCTTTTTCTCTTATCTACTTAAGAAAGTATTTAACCTGTTATCTGATGCTATAATTGGAACTTATCAGATACATAGTTGAGTATCGATAATACGTAACATGTTACATTAAATCAATAAGCGGTAAAAAGGTATAAAGGAGGGAAATCATGACGTTTGCGAATCAATGTGTGTCTTTTACCATATCGATTGATCGCGCTTTCGCTGCTTTTCCGACTGTTATCGACTATTTAATATGAATATCAATTCTTAATTTATTTGATTCTATGTTACAATTTTGCAACATTATAAAGTGTTATGCTTTGAATATATACTCGTATATATGTACTACACTTTAGAAGTGTCGTAGTCAATCTGAATTAAAATAAAATGTTTGCAACATCTATATGTCCTTGTCTGTTTAAAATCTGTATCAATACGCTTGTGCTGATAATAATTTATAATGCAGATGATAATTATATACATTTGCTTAATTTACGCGATATATTCCTTTAGAATTTCACACGTAAGTGAAAAATGCCATATTCGATTAAGGCGGATCTTCATGCCTGATAATATTTATACAATTTTTAGTTCAAGCCGATTGTCGACAAAAAAAAATTGTAACCTTAAAATACAAACCAAAGATAGTAATATTACAATTAAATTGACAAGCAATTAGAATTTCAAAATTGTTAAAGATTTGTAGATAATCGATGCGCATCGCAATAAAATGAATAGGTAGAATAAATATTATACATATTGAAGACAGCACCAATTAGCTATTCCAGGCACTTCCAGTATCCATATATATTCTAAAGTTTTATATTGCTGTAATATTTTTTCTATTACTGCAGAGTTTAATATCACTTATTAATACTTTCGTATTTAAACGATGTTACTCGTGCTATTTACCTTTACAATTCATAATCTCTTGAATTAACACGCAGAGATAAAAAGTACTTTGATATTTTTATAGTATTCTCGCAATTGCACGATACTTTCTGCAAATTTTTTTCATCATGTTTAATGCAAATATCTTGCTGCGTGTACATCTTCCGTGAATATGCATTCAGTACTATCGCACGAAGTGTAGCTCGACCGATCAATATTCACCCTTTGCGGATTCTGAATAAGAGTCATCCGAGACAATCTGAGAGAAAGGTGTCATCGACATCGAAGGTACGACAGAACGAAGGACTCCTGTCACGCATAAATACGGTCTTACTTTATTTCCCACGGCGTTCGAGTGGTCACGACGTAATCCGCATCGAGGCGCGGCCATTGTCTATGCTAACTCTCTTGACGTGGCCCCGTCGTGTCCGCCACTCAAGCTCAGACTCTCCCGACAGGCGGACGGTGGACGCGGATAGCTCCGCTTGCATCCTCGTGCGAGCTAATTGCGGCTTTGAGAGTCTGAAACGCGAAGGTTTCGCCAGTTGCCTAGGATTACCCGACTCAGAGCTCTCGTGTCTTAAAGGGATATAATCAGGTTTGCTAAAGCTTTCCATAATTCCTTGTTAAATGCCTTCGGGGTTCATAAGCTGAATACTAAAGTAGCGCTATAAAATTTTTTATCCACAAGATCGTGAGCTTGAACAAAATTAAATACATTTATATTTCAATGAAATATAATATTTAAGAATAATTTTAGAATAATAGTTACATCGAAGTTAGTAATCTCGAATGAATCTCTCTCAAAAGAGTTTCGAATTAAATAGCATCTAATAAATGATACGTGTATATATCTGAATAATAAGTGAAGAAAAAGATCTCTGATGAATATTCGTTTTGATTGAAAATAGGATTATTTCTTTTAATTAAAAAAATCGATGGTAGGTACAATTAAAGATATTCGATATACAGCAATAAATCTCTAATAACGAAATATATACGCTGGTTATATTTTTACAGGCAGCTGTTCAATTTTTGAATTAATCATTTCCTGATTCTCTCAACATTCTATTTCCATCTCGTCTTCTACGGACGCCTACTCGTTTCTCGCTTCACCTGCCTCACAGTCGCGACTTTTAATTAAGGATAGGCAACTATACGAAACTTGCCATGCCATCCGGATCAGGAATTTTGCCAGGATACAACGAGACCAGCCGGTTATACGCGTCTTCTCGATATGAATCAGGATTAGTTTGTTCCTTAGACAGGTTCGTGATTTAAGGGTGACCACACCAGCCGCCAGAGTTGCAGGAATAACTGCGTACTCATGCGTGTGCTCACGGGCGTATCTCGGGGGAAGATAAAAAAAGAAAGAAACGAAAGGATCATAATAGCGTGTCGGACCGCGAATACGGCGCCTTCCTATCAAAACACGATACAGCGTTTAGCTTATTATTTATTGCTACTTATTGCTTATTAAAGCCGCAAGGGAAGCCGCACGTGTTTCTTAGCGCTGTCAGTTCATTTTCAAGTACATGGACGTGCACGAGAAAGAAGCGTGTGTTACACAAGTGAGAAAAGTTAACGAACATGCCGTTATTTCTTTTTTGTCGTTGGATGATCTATGACGATGCGCGGGCCAGATTTCTAGTTGCTTCTTCGACAATAAAATTGAAATATAGCGAGATTAACGGAATGTCCATGTTTGAGAGGATTCAATCACGGATTTTATGAAGATTTTTTTGTAGATTATACCGATGGAATTTAGAAATATGAATTATCTGTTGTACCTTCGGCTTTAAATCTAAAAAGATTCTAAAATTCGTGTAAAAAAATTTATATTTTGATCGCAAAAGAAATTAGCATATTAATTTAATTATTAATGATTTTATTTTATTCATATTTTAATTGCTTATATACAATAGTTACATATGTTTTGAATGAAAACAAATCTCTTTCTGTTTGTCCATGAAATTCAAGAAACAAAGAATGAGTGAAATGAGACTGTGATACTCACTCTCATAGTAAAAGAATATTTGACGCCGTGCGTTTTTATAACGAACTCAGTTAGTTTCAGTTTCGTTGATTAAAACTTCGTTAATTAAAATATCTCATTGTTACGAACAACATCTCTCCTTCTCCGGAAAACGTCGTGGCGTTCGCATAAATGTACGTGTATTCGAGTTTAATTGAACAAGCCGGAGGGTTGGTTTTTGTATTTTCGAATCTCTTTGTGGTATCTCTCTCGTCTCCTGGCTCTCTCTACTTTTCTCTTTTTCTTATTCTTCTTCTCCTCCTCTTCCCCTTCTTTTTTTATTGCACTAGAAATCGTTACAAATTAAGTGTTCTCACGGCCTACTCCTCTTCGTCGTCGTCGTCGTCGTCGTCCTCGTTGCAACCGTTTGATCCTTCGTGATGTCCCTCCCCGCGTAAATCGAGCTTAAGTTCATTAATTTCACAAGGCTTTCGGGCGTTTCGGGGCGAAATCGTCTCGACGACGAAAGGATTAAAATTACGGGCCGAGAGCATCAGCGTTGCCCGAGCTAAACGTCAAATTACAATTAACGATGAAGTGGCCTCGCAGCCCCGGCCTTCGCGCAATCAACTTAAGGACCGTAGTTTGCTCCGTGATGTTACTCTTCTCCGATTCTCCCCTTTTCCTCTTATGGTTTCGTTTGCTCTTCCGCGTTTGCAACGAAACTAGACGAGAAAGCGAAACATCAAGGAGCTATAAATTATGTTTCCGAATTATGTTCAAAGAAAGATCACTCAAATCAAATCGATAAATTCGTTCTCTCGCCATAATTGCATTTGCATTAATTGGCAATCACTTCTGGCGCGTTTCCAAACATTCCAAAAGTAGCGTGCCGTGCCGAAGAAGAATTCGAAGAAACGCCGCAAGAATCATCCGTTGAATTATTCGTGAACTTCGCCCCGACTTTATTCCGTGTGCATTCGTCGCTCCGGACAGCCGCGATTGTCGTGAAGTCTTAAATCCTTCACGAGAGATGTAAGAATCGCTAGTCACCCTCGCCAGCTTTCAGAAGTTTATAGAATTTAAAGCGTCTCGTTGAAAAGGATTTCAGTACATTGTGACTGGTACTTGTCACAGAGATATGCGGCACCGAGAGCATCACAATCCGTACAATATTATCTATTGTATGTGATATGCACATCGTGCAAGATTTATGACGCGACTTTCACCGCTACGACAAATTGGAGGTACGAAAATAAAATTCAGTCGTGTACAATTTAATCTTGGCTCGCTGTAATATTCTTTTCAGCTAATTTTCTTTTGTGAAAATTCGAGAAATAATCTGCAGCTCTCGTAAAAACATGTTTATGGCTGAATTTCTATTTTCGTCCAGGGATCGGGGATTCTCTCGATCGCGCTGGTGCGTTCTGTTGCCATGCAATGAACGCAAATAGAATCCGTAAATGCCAAAGTCTAATTTTCCCGGGGAATAACGAGCCGACTACGTCTCTCACGATAATTGACTTCCGGCCGTCTCGCCTCGTGATGCTAAACTTTTCTGGAAATGCACGGAGCGGTGAGGACGGACGCGAGAGTAAAGTCTGACGAAGACTGGGAACGAGGTGAGAAGCGCGAGTTGAACGTTTTACGGATTTCCTCTCTTGCATTCCGAGACGGAGGAACGGGACGCAGTCGGTGCTGGGAAATGCAGTTCGGACATCGTATTTCCTTTTCGCTCGACAAAAGCGCTGTGGAGCAACTTCGCAAACGCGACGAAATCCGGTCGCGCCCCTTACTTACTGTCGGTCGCCGTAATATTGTTGGGAACTTTTGCGTTCGCCGAAAGGCATTCGCTTAATTGCCGGCGGGGACGTCGACGACGATGAGGAATCTTCGAACAAGGAGTCAAGAAGACGTATTCATTTAAATTCGCCGTATAACGAGCGATAACGTTCTTGTGCAACATTGGTTTATCCGCTATTCAAACGTGTTTTCTATGCGACCCTCTCATCGTTCCCGACCCGGAGTTGCAAATACATTAATTATATAATATAAACGCTCGGCTTTTGATATAGTTTTCATCTAAGAATCTTCGAAATTTTCCACGAGCGTAAACTCATTCAGTATCCTGATGGTTTTGAAATATAATATTCGCGTATCGCGTTCATGCTGCACATTTAACTTCGTGAAAGAGCACATTAATAAGCACTCGGTTCTATAGAAATCTCAGCCAATCCGGCTTGAGAATAGAGAATCTCAAAACGCGAATGGCTAATTACGTTTCGCAAGAATAATATTAGGATGTCATTGTTCGCATGCAGCTTCCTATATTCTAAATATTCTAACGAATATATACCATTTCCGTTTCAGTATCTTAAATGCAAGCTAATACCAATTTAGCACAAATAAAGTTAAATTATAACTAATATCTTTTAATAATTCAACCAACTTCTTCTCTTTATCTTTCTCCTCTTACAATCTTAATCCTTTTCACAACTTATAGCGAATTCAATCAGCACTTGTACTAGGCTAGATCAGAGCATACTAAAAGCTGCTTTACATGAAATTAGCAAAGTTAAATGTAAAGGTATATAAATATATTTTAAATGATTAACTATATACTAATGATATTGTCACGTTATTTAACAAAATGTAATATATGTATCATTCTGTCTAAATCTGAATCAGTGGATAGTCATTAATTACTCAATGGTATACTTGGCATTGGAGTTCAATTAAAAAGAAAGAATGTTTGACCATTATAACTAAAATACTGATATTTGCACGTTAATTTCAATGTTCCAATACCATTGAATTTATGCACTAAAACAAAATTAGTTAGATCACATAATAAAGATTAGTTAGGTTAGGGATCTCACATTTTATTCACTAATTATCAGTAGCATACTTGGCACTAATATCAGTGATTATCCACTGATTCAGATTTGGAGAGTTGTCAAAGTTGATTGTACTGTATTACTGCATTAAGATATTTTATATAAAGCAGCTTTTAATATGCACTGATCCAGAGTAGTGCGAGTGATCGAATTCACTATTAGTATAGGGACCTTAGTGTAGGGACTTTGGCATTCATTCTTCTTTTACGTTTCACATGGAAATCATCAGAAAGAGGAACGGGGGTAATACGTCTGCGAAGTTGGCGAGCGACCGAAGGAACGATCATCAGGACGGCAGGAGGAAAGGACAGGGAACGAAAAGGACGGACGAGGGACTGCGACTTTTAAGAGACTGCGAACACGGAGGTCCTGCTGCGAACGCGAGCTACCCGCGTCTGGGTGGCGCGTACGCGATATGGGTGCAACTTGTAATGGGGCAACTTGTCAGCTACCGCGGCTCGTCCGTCAGAGGACGAAAGGTATACCCGGTTCCACTACTCGCCAAGATAGGAAATGACGCTCGATAGCAGGCGACCACGCTTCCCTTTTCCTAGAGAACTACGATCCGTGCTCCGCTTCGCGCCGCTCTGAGCTCCGTATTCGTGCCGAAGACAACTGATGGTACGAGGAATCGGAGCTTGATATCCCGGACACGTAGACGTGCGAGGCGCCGAGAGAGAAAGAGAAGAAATACCAGCACAAGCTGTGAGAAAACGTGAAGCCGCTATCGCGAGACTCTAACGAGAACTCTCATCGTACTTCACCCTTTTTTAAAGCACGAGTTGTTCGCCGCCGCTGTTAACAAACAATGTTACTAATCTTCAATGTACAATCAAAGATTGAGTTGTCGTCAGAATTGTAATTAGGTGATGTAATTGTAGAAAAAAAAGATATTAAGATAACGATTGAGATATTAGGGATAGAATTATTATTATTATAAGATAAATTTGATGCAAATATAGCATAATGAATTCTTTCTGTTCGAAAAAATAAAGTTAAAATTTCTGTTCGAGAAGATTTATTTGTCACTTTTACAGTGTTTCTCTATGGAGTATAAAAGATGTATCGATGCTAACATTTGTTGAGATTATTTAGAAAAACATGTTATTTTATCCGAGATAAAAATTTCAGTAGGTAAAATTAATTTAACCTAAATATTCTCGATAAATAACAACATCGTTATTTCTTTTTTACCTATTAGATCATAGAAAAAAATTATTATATTTTCTAGGCAATTCTAATGAATCTTGCTTGGTTTTTTACAAAGTACAAGTTAAAAATGTAGTAAGATTACTCGTCACAGGATATTCAGCATATGGTACTTTCGAGGAAATGCGTATGTTTATCAGAGCGCACGGTCGCGCGAAACGATTTCGAATTGACGCACGTGCCGTGATTTACGCGTCCCAGTTGTTTAATAGCGAAATTATCGAACGCGCCATCCCGGACAGCGCTCGCTTCGTTTCCTTTTTTATTTCACCTGCACCGTCGATCGACAATTACGCGATTGCGATCAGAGCCTGGAGCCAATAACGCGCTCGCTCTCATTTCCATAATTCACACGCGTTTCGCTTCTTCCGCGCCTCTCGCAGATCATTGGGACGACCTCGTCTCTACTCTCGCAGCTGCGCTCCCGTTACATCTGGTGCACCTTTGGGATTCGCGTTACGCAATATCGCGACCCATCAGCGGATGAGGCCCGAAAGAAGCGTTTTGCGAATACAATCGAGATGAAGTAAGGCTGGCACTTAGAAAAACATAAGCAGTAAGACGAAGCAATAAGCAAATCAACATTTTTTATTTGCTTACATTATTGCCTTACGTTCTCCACTGTGACTGGCCGATTCCTTCACTGCTTATGTCTTACTGCTTGTGTTTTTCTATATCCCACTAGCCTCAGGGCAATAACGCACAAAAAAACTTAAGCAGTGAAACGTAAGCAGTAAGCAAATTGGCCAATCATTGTAGAGACCATAAGGCTATAACATAAGCACTAGCCAATCCAATATGTTCTTCCTTACTGCTTACGTTTTACTGCTTAAAATTTTTTTGTGTGCCACGGCTCGTACTCTGTCTTTATCGTGTTTGCAAAATGCTTCTTCCAGTTCGCTGATAGATCGCAATATTGCGTAATAAGAATCTCAAAGGAGCATCAAAAAAGCTATGGCATGTAAAAAAAACTAAGTAGTAAGTAGTAAATGTAAGCAGGAAACAAATGTACATTTTTTATTTGCTTACTACTTATGTTATTATTTTACGTTCTTGACTGTAATTAATTGATTTATTTATTGCTTATGTTTAAAGCTAGAGCACAAATTTTATAAAGCATAAAAAATCAACCAATCAATCTTTAATTTCGTGAAAAGAAAGGAAATGGAGGATTTTGAGTTCATTTTTGTATATATTATGCATTATGCGTTATGCAAGACTCTCGTCTGTTTCCGTTTTTCTACCACCAACCTAAGCGCGCGACAATTATCGCATAGTCAGTCATCCGACGCGAATTTCATTAGTCTTGCGCGAGTCGTTTCATCCACATCGCGCAAAAACCGCAGAAGCCGCGCTCTCGTTGATTCTCACTCAAGACGACGAGAGATGCACCTATTGGCATCTACGTGTAAAACATGCCCGATCGAATCAACAAATGACAGGAAGAGAAGCAAGGACGAGAGAAGGAGTTATTTATATTCGCTGACTGAAACGATGACTATCCTCGATTAAGCCTGATAATCATCCCTTTACGTGCAACTAATCTTCGAGCCGACAACGACGTCACGGTTATCCAATCCACGCGCGCTCGAGTTCGATGGCGGAAAATCTGGAAGGATTGGTTCCATCTCTCCGTCATTTTCTCCGTCTCGTTTTCGCACGCGTGCTCAGCCACCGCTGTCATTCTCCTGCGAGTACTATGCCGTGTTACCGCGTCTGCCTGAGATGCTCGCCAACCCGAACCCAACCGGCCATAACTTCATCCTCGGCCTGGCTGACGCTAATTGGCGTATCGTGCCGTAATGCGGTCACGCCATTATCTCTACCCACTGCGAGAGACTGATATTGCATTACACCAAGTTGATCTTTCATCGTCGGCCCATTTCCTGGGCTCGGCTCGACGATTGGCCGCGGGCAGCGAGAAGCGGAGCTGCGCGCAGCGAGCGGCGAGCGGCGAGCGGATGAACCGGAACCCAGCGACCTTGGAAAACGTGACTTTGTCATGGCCGATTAGGTGGTTCATCAACCTTGCCCTGTTATGATTCGCACAAAAAAAAAATACATCGATCATCAATCGATGGAGCTGGGAATGAATGGCACATAAATTGCGATAATTGTAGCGGTCGAAATCAGTTTTTTAGGTAACAGAATAATAGTGTTGCATTTATACTTCAAAATGACAGTAAAGATAACAGTAATAATTCGTAATATTAGAATAATATATAAAAGAATATATTAGATTAATACATAAAAGAATAAAATTTCCAGCAAAAAATAAATCATAAATTAAGAAAGTCTCACGCGAGCCGATGCTTGTCGTGTGTAAAAAGTATATTAATAAAATAAATATATAGACGTTTTGACTCATAATTTAGGTCCTCTTGAGTGATATTATTGACCAGTTAATACATACACAGAATAACTATTTTATTTTTGATAATAAAACCAGTAGAATTATCGATACGAATAAATACAGACCGTTGTCAAACTAAAAAAAACGTCGTAAGACTAATGTTCAGAAATAACAAAAATTATCAAATGTCTTTAATATTTGGTAGAATACTTAATATAATTCGGGCGTAAAAAATGAAATTGATAATATAACAAAAAATGACGAAAAAGAGCATAAAATAGTGTATGATATAAGATATTGTAAACAAAGTATATATACAAGGTATTGTCGCGATCACACTGTTTGTGGGAGTATCGTCGACATACCGGTCGCCAATCGGTCGACGACGAGATGGCTGGACGAGAGTGCCATAAACACCACGTCAAGGACGTAAGATTTATAAATCGCTGGTTTTTATTTCGAGTTAAGCCAGCTTTAGGACTTGTCCCATTAAGTGGGGCTTCCAACTCTCTTTCCTCTTTTCTCTTTCTTTCTCGTCGTGACCCGGCGTTGCTACGCCTGCACAAGCACCGTTCATACAAGGGTAGATTAAGAGGCTCTTCGCGGCTCCTAAATATCTTATTAAACAGCATCGCGATGGTCTATTAACTCGCCTATACCTGCATTCTCTTTTTCCCTTCTTCTTTTCTCCTCTTTTTCCTCGTTCTTTTTTTTTTACGACATACACGTCATTAATGTGTTTCCACCGCGCGGTTGCCTGAGTTTCTAACAGACAATTTTTCGCTGTGCGGCCGTCATTAATACCATAGAACAAGGTATTAAAATCACTCGAGGATGTTGAAGGGCGATCCGCGTTTTACGATTCGTCGGAAGTTGTCGATTAATTCGCGATTCTTTCCGATCGCCGACCGCGCCCTGGATCACTCCAACAGGAACGATTCCGAGAAATGGAGCCGCGCAGATTGCTTCTTTCATGTAACGTTCTCTCACGGGCCTTCTATTAAATTGCTATCCGCTTTGTGAGCCTGCAAGGCATCGAGATAGAATCGGGCGAAGCTAGTCGACGTTGGCGACGTCGCGTCTCGCGGAAGAGCATCTCGCGTTCCCTTTGATTTCGCTCGGAGCTTTGAGCCATCACTTCGTGTGTCTCTTGCTATCTCCATGAAGCTTCTTCTCATTTCCTCTCACGAGAAAAGTGGTTCGTATTGCAAGCGTACAGCGAAGAGACAGATAAGGGTGCGTTGGATAATTTGTGATACAGTTAAAGACGCTGATAGCTCATCGTATCAATAATTTTGCAACGTTTTTTTGAGAAAGGTGAACGCAATAATTAATTGTAAAAGAATCTCATTTATCACCTCGAAATATGCGAAATATTGCTAAATAACGCACTATGTATGAAACGCGTACAAAATGCTCCTCCCTCAAGATGTTTGGTTTCCCGAATGCGTTACATCCATCGGAACAGGGAAATGTAATTAAGAACCATGGCGCACGAGTGACGTGTAATACATAAATATGTAATAGAAATGCTGTGAAATATAATTAAACGGGAGCCCATTCAAAATGCGACTTTCAATTAGCGCTCTTCGTATGAGTGGCCAGTGTGTGGTCGTAAATAATTCACGAAACTTCATCCACGCATTGTGTTCCCGCCCGACTCCGCTGTCTCGAAAGTTTTCGGACGGGCCCGTCTGACGGCGATGTTATACGTAGCTCCTGCATCGTAAACACGAACTCGCAGCCCTGAAGTAACAGACTCGCGTTCACCTGAACGTTGTCGTCGAGGTACATCTCCGTACGCGGCAACTTTCCTGTCGTGTGACTTTTCGTGACTTCTTGACGTGTACGTGAGACTGTTGAACATGTGGACGAGGATCCACCATTAGATGTCTTTATTGATTACAGGAGCCATTAACGCTGTTCATTTAATTAAAAATTGAAGTGCTAAGAACGATCTCGATATTTAAATTCATGTACTGAAAAACACGGCTGGTTGAAAATGGACAAAACCTGTAGAAAATTCTGATTATATAAATCATAATTTTGGTTATTATAACTAGAATTTAGTGGGTTTAATTAAAAAATTCTGATTCATCCATTTTCAATTAGAGTTCCAATTAATCCAACCAGATATTTTTCTCAGCATGCTTTAACTTTTTGCCTACAGTCCAAATTTTTTTTTATATAATTGAAATTTTATTTTCAAATTTCTCCGAAATAAAGAACAATTAAAAATTCCCTCTTCTAAAATATTCCTCTTGTTATGTGTTAAAAAATTTTAGTAATATAAAAGATGTTGAAAAGTAACCTTGAATTTTTGATATTTTTTAAAAATCTACAACAGTA